TCTAACCGGTTCGATAGATTTGACAAACCGGTTCTACCGAATAGGTGTGAACTGGTAGGAACCCACCTCTGAATTAAACAACAATGAATTATATTCCCAAATTCTGTGAACATAAACGGAAAAGTGATTTTGCATATATATTTTTTGGTCATTGGTCCTAATTTATTTCTAGTAATCAAAAATTTTTCCTTAATGTAATTGAATTTTCTTACTAAAATTTTATGTATGTCAGCGTCATCAAGTATTCTGATGGTAATTTTGCAAGAAAAAAAAATGGTTACTGTTTACCTTGGACACATAACTTGGAATGAATGTCCATTAAAGATAAACATAGAAGTTTGGCTGGATCTGAAACCTGCTAAATAATTAAAACTGTAATATAGAATTTATTTATTTTCCTTACCTATCCTAAATTTGAATTCCCAGATCTGGACACTTTATCAGAGTTTTTATTTGCATCAGAAATTGATAGTATAGTAAGAAGAGCGAAACTGGGAAACATCTACACAATTTAGTCAAACATTTTTGAGAACTAAGAGAAATGCTGTTCTCTTTTAATCCCTTCACTTTATTTGGGCATAAATTGCCCTTCAAAGAGAACAATGCTACAGGATAATACATAAATAATATAGACAGTAGAGAAAATTTCATCGTAGGTGTACACATATAAACTGAAAATACCATTTGTAGCATTTAACATATTTAATTTCCAAGTTTGTGACCTAGTTAATGCTTTTCTCTAAAACGAATAAGTCTAAAGAGAACTATAGAAAATGAATATTATAAGTCTATTTAATTATACCAACAAAAATCAGCTAATAACTGAAATGCTTTTCTTTCATTCGTTTTCCACTATTTTATAACAGATTAATTTATACTTACGATAAAATGCTTCTGATTTCATATATAAAAATATATTTTAAGGAAAATCAGTAGTGGCATCTGAATTGGCAGATAGATCCATCTGGATTTATAATTAATTTATTTAATTATTTAATTAATTTAGTTAATTTATAATGACAAAGTAGAACAAGATCGTCATTGAAAAACCCACCAAGTAGCTCTGTGAATTGGTTTCCAGTCCTAATAACCTACTATTTACCCAGAAAATCTTTATTTAGAAATCAGTATCATGAAAAAACAAACAGGCATTATTTGAATAACTTTTAAAATTACTTAACATTGATGCTATTATCCAAAATGGGTCATACTTCATTTCTTCTTCAATGCAGGTATAATTCTAATTATGGTTATGGAATGTACAAAGGGTTTTTTTTTTTTAATTGAAGTTTGCAAATGAAATTCATATCCTCTGTCATTATAACTCTTGGGTAATATTATTATGCAGACTGGGGATGATTGGATATTAATTGTATAAAGTATTTTATTTTGTAGCATCTCTAAAGCAGGCCCACATTAGGCAACATTCTTTAATGTTTTTTTAAAAAAAATTCCAAATTGAATACAAAGGGAAGATCAGTCTCAGAGTGTTTAGTTCTCATTTTTTATGCTAGTGTTTTTTTTCATATGGAAATGACTTATATCTCATTATGTTTCCAGGGATTGTAATGTTCTTTTTTTCTCATCCTTTTCAAACCCCTGTTTATATGTGTGTATTTTTTTTCCTCTGCCTAGACCTGGTTAACCATTTCTGTGAACAGGTCCTCAATTTTTTGCTTTGTCCCTACTTTCCTGTCGTAGCCCCATCTTCCCCTGGTGTCGACTCCGTACCCTTACAGCGCACAGGCAGTCAACACGCCACCCAGAACACATCAGCGACCTTCCAGAGGGCCAGCTATGCTGCGGGCCCTGCCTCCAATTATGCAGATCCCTACCGACAGCTGCAGTATTGTCCTTCTGTTGAATCACCATACAGCAAATCTGGACCAGCCATCCCACCTGAGGGAACCTTGGCTAGGTCACCTTCTATTGATAGCATTCAGAAAGATCCCAGGTGGGTAAAACCTTTTTTTTTCCTATTATTAATTCATAAAGAGATGTCCAGCTGCAAACATGGGTATCAAGGTGGTAGATATGTACCAGGGGTAGTTAACCTTTTTATACCTACCGCCCACTTTTGTATCTCTGTTAGTAGTAAAATTTTCTACCCGCCCACCGTTTCCACAGTAATGGTGATTTATAAAGTAGGGAAGTCAATTTAAATTTTAAAAAAAGGAAAGTGCTTCAGTATTGGACAAAACCACTACCGCCCTCCATGAAAGCCGGAACGCCCACAAGTGGGCGGAAGGGACCAGGTTGACTACCACTGCACTAAACCCTAAAACACA